ATCTGCCTTTGTTTTATCGGGGGGGGGGGGGGGGGCGGTCGGCTTGAATTTTATTGTTCGTGGATTCCTCCAACTGAGCAGAGGTTGTGAACCTGGGGGGTTACAACGGTGACAAGGGCCCTGTTACCGTGGGGTTTTCTCCAGTGTAGTGCTACGAGATCTGCAGCCTCCTAGGGTGGAAGCGTGAGAGAGTTTATGCGTAGGGAGGGGGGGGATGTTCATGACAGTCCAGGTGCACGCCTTCGACTGGAGTTGGCGCCGTGGCTCTGAAATGCACGTCACCCTGGACGAGGTCAATCATCGTCTGCACTTGAACCTATTTATCGTATGATTAAACGGGATATTTCCTCATCCTAGTCGCAATATTCAAATAGGGAAATTAATGTCCTATTGCCGAATACGAGCGCTCGGGATTCGCTAGTTACGGAGAAGGTCATTAGCATCTCCTGAGCATTTGTGCGATGAAGGGTTCTTTCAAAAAAACGTCAAATTTTTGGAACTTGCACATTAAAAGTCTGGTGTAATGTGGGGCGTTAGATGTTACTTGCTCGAATACACCGATTTATTAATCACTGCGAATGGGGGTGGTTTTCTGAAGCATCTACCTCAACTCCAGTGCTGTTTTACATTGAAAAATGACGTTTTGAAGTCGTTGAACACGATGCCAAGCAGGGAGCATATTGATGTGATCACGTGACCGATGAGGATTTTGGTTTTTCGTCGGTACGACTTATCGGATTTCCCATACACCGCGCGCAATTTCACAGGGCGAGCATATGGTGTCTGGTTTATTTTCTTAATGCTTCCTGTCATCTGAGCGATTTCCTTGTACATTATACACGCGTACATGGTCTGCGGTAGGAGGATGTGCTAGAACAAACGCAGTTCGTGTAGACCCACACACACACACACCTGTGCATGTGTGTGTGTGTGGGATTTGCACCTTCGGGAGAAACTTCGGCAACTGTTGTAACCACCTGACTTTGGACATCACCTACACACGGACGCACGCACGCGAGCGAGCGCGCGCGTGCACCTGGGCTTCCTTTCTGCCCTGAGAGCATAATTTATAGTTTTAATTGAAAAAGAAGGCAATAAACTGGTACTGGTCGTAGCGGTGGTGGTGGCGGTGAGGTCGGGGAGGTGGCTAGTATGATTGATTTGGCCCTTTGAACTGTTGCGGTGGCCAACAAAATCCAACTGGGCAGTCTTGCACCGACGAAATCTCGCGCCACGCCGTGCTGGAGCTGATTTCGACACTTCCACGTGGACGCGCCAGACCTTGGATTGATAAACACACATCTGTGTCTATCAGTTTACAACCAACTGTACACAAGCCCCGATCAGGCGACGCGTGTCCATACGGATAGTGTAGAAATGGGCTGTAATGACGACGATTTGAATCTGCTGAGCAGTCTTCTACATTAGCATTCAGCCCAATACGATGAAGAATCTGCATCACGTGACTGAATCCGATCCACTGATAATATGGAGCGCTTTGAGTGGAACATCCATGGACGAAATTGAAGTTTGTTTGGTTCAGCAGCAACTGTCAGAATGTTGAAAGCAGACCGAATTGACGACATCAAGAATCACCTAGGATCTACAACTCAACGAAGCCCATGTTGGAGTACGTTATAGGCACTTTGGAAACCTCCGATCTGGCAGCATCGATTAACGCCAGCCAGGGAGGAATGGTCAGATTGAAGACAGTTCGTCCACAATCACATGCAGACAGCTCGTCCACAGTTATTATCGACGAATTCGGCTCCCCGATGCTGAACCACGACATCCATATCGCTGAAGACCGAGTGTCAGTAGTAGTTGAGTTGGTGGACCGGACCACATGATCAGAAATGTGGACATAATTAACGCAAATCTCGTAGGGCATGGCAATCTACAACTGGAGCTGGAGTCCCACACAAGAAGAGGGGAAGACGAGTCGACGAACTTGAATACTTCGTGGTTCTACCACCAGATTGTCACGTCGCACGCCTGATGCCTAGGTCGATCAGTGAGAAAGTCACGTAAACGGTTTCTTCGGGGCGTCAGTGTTAAATCCTAACGGTGTCTTTCCACATCGAAGCAGACTTGATTTGATGTTACCAGTCACGTGGTTGTTCACACCTCGGCCTGCCTTTCAAATGTTGTTTAGGGCGTTGCATGTTGACGTGGTGGCGAACACCCAAGAATCGGCCTCACGATGTCACCTCACACGCAGAGTCGCTTTGTAGATGAAACAGCCTGCCGCGAGTGCACTGGACCAATGATGTTCACGAAAACAGGCTGCGAGGACAGGGAGGGCACATACTGGTGGCGAGATGCGGCCGATTGAGGCGGGCAGTGGGTTGGATGAGTAAACGAGCACGACGACTTGGTGACGCGCCCCCCTCACAATTTGCACCTCTTTGTGATTTGCTTGATGTGGCTGATCTTGGGAATAGGAAAATGCCACCGGAGGGTGGCCACAAACACTGGTTGACTTGTGCAATCACCGCTGCAGGCACGTCTGTCGGATGATTGGGGAGAGCTGAACGCAACACCGTCAAACAACTCGACGAGGCACAATTTTACACAACGCGCCGTGAGTAGTAATCTGTGGGCGCATAATTAATGTTTGTTTATTCGCCTAGACGTTATGTCGTCGTATTTGTTGAAATGCTGCCGCGTATTCTGGTTTGGACTGTCAAGGGAACTAAATTGCGCCAATTTCATTGGTAGGGGTATGACTTCGTGATCGCTTCCAGTTCCACTCAAATTCCACATTGGAATAATCGATTTCGTCTGAGGAATCAACCACTAATCATGCATATATGTGGCTGCTGGCATGCCTACTTGGTGTTCGTGTTTCAAAGTTTGCCTACGATGTAGTGTTAGTGCATATTTCACCCTGACATGGGGGAATATGCCACTGGTGAGGACACGTGAGTGAATTTTCGATGATTGTTAGTTTCTCCTAAAGACTCGACTTAGAATGTGCACTGACCGTGGTTTGGAGTGTGGTATGAACTAGTTTACACCAATTTCAGTGGACGTTACACTCACGAATCACGATTTTTGCAATCACAGCTTCCTTGATCGCAGTTGCACAAGTCGGACACACAGGGAGGGGGGTCGTCGTTTGGGTGGAGGTTCACGAGTCGATGGAAACGACGGTGATGGAACACGGACCTGTCGGATCCACGTCTCACGAATCGGTGGTGAATGGATCATTGGATTGTGTGAGGGCACCGACGCTTATTACTTCTTCATACACAAGCGACTGCTACACGGTGCGGAAGTTGAAGTAGTAGAAGCAGGTTCAACGGGACCTTCTGTCGAATATCGGTTAGCTCTTTGAGGACCAATTGTAGCCGAACGTCGGTAAAACAATGCTGATTTTGATACAGATGTGTAGAACTAGCACGGCATGAGCACATGGTGGTTAGACAGCGTTGATTTAAGATGTAAACAGCATCAACACTTCAGAGACACTGTTGAGTTGACACGATTAGTGGGTTATGAAGATGGATGAAGGCCTCATCTCAGCGCTCCTGTGTTGTATCATAGGAGTTCCTGTTGGTAAATTGCTGCCATTTGATTTAGTCAATATATTTAGGCAAAACTGGCTCCCCATACCAACTCTGATTTCGACCAGTACCTAATGAGGGGGATTTCATCTAGTCGCTGGTTCCAGATCCTCTCAAGGTTCGAACTGAAGATGATATTTTAAGTATGAGGTTCGCGAGGTGGCAGACGGAGATGTCGAAATCCCTTGATGTTTCACAATTGGGACTTGTGTGATGTGGCGGTCAAGAGAAAGGGTGCCTCTACGGTGTGTCAAACAAAAATCACATCAAGGATTGAAATCGCAACACCTGTGTTTAACTTTTGATGTCACCATTAGGAAAATGGTGTTACTTATGCCCAAACACCAAAGGGGTCGCAGTTCACAATCAAAATATCGATTGCCCACTTCGAAATTGCGGTAATTCAGTAATATATTTGGGATTTCAAACATAAAAATCCCCTGTCGTTTACACAATTTTCATGATTTATTGGGTTGAGCTGTTACCCTTACGTTTTAAGACATGAAAGACGATATCGATCTGTCGTGGGGAACTACAAGTGAGCATTTTACATGATGACGGATTTCGAGAAGGTCATGATTTTCTGTTCAAATCGTGTGCGTGGTTGCATTTGTCAGTCCGAGACATCATTATCCGGTCGACTTCGCCTTGTTCTCACACGAGTTGCCCTCGTTCGTCAGTTTGTCCAATTGTGCTTGCACCAAAAATAGTCTCCTGTGCGTCCGATCGTGCTCTTTCCGTTCCTTTGAACAAAAAAGACCGTTAACGAGTTAGCAGCCAGGGTTGTTCAGCCCTTTGAAACCCCAAAGTGTGGGGAAATTGAGTCGGATTTTAGAAGCACGCTTCAGATTCAACACATTGGAACAAAAACACACCAATACCCTACGTGCTACTCGTTTCACGACCATACCCCGCAAGAATAGGCGTTTTGTGTGTTGTCAATTAGTCAGATAGGCCACGTCGCAGCGCTCCTGTGTTGTATCATAGAAGTTCCTGTTGGTAAATTGCCGCTATTTCATTTGGTCAATATTTAGGCAAGACTGGCGCCCCATACCAACTCTGATTGTGATTAGAACCAATTTCAATTCGAAGGGTTCGACCACGTGATCGTTTCCAGGTCCTCCCAAATTCCAAATTAAAATAATCAATTTCCTCTGAGGAATCAACCACTAATCGTCCACAAATGTGACTACTGGCATGCCTACTTGGTGCTTGCGCTTCAGTTTGCCTGCAATGCAGTGTAGCTGCGTATTTAGTGACTACCTCAAAGCCGGGAGTTCTTATGCCTGAATTTCGGCCCGGGATGTTCGTTGGGATTTTGCCAACCTGTTTAAGCGTTAACACGGGTCACCTTGTCGAGACTGGTGTGTGTCGGTGTGCGTGTGGCAATTGAATTACACGGCTTTTTCTGGTTTTCCTTCCCTCAGTGCCTCGATCTCCACGAGCTTGGAGGTTGCTGCTGTTGGCATTGAAACGACACTTGGGCTTTTTCCTTGCCATACACGCGAGCGAGCGAGCGAGCGAGAGCGAGAGAGAGAGAAGCACGCACCAGCCGCCGAGCAGCTGTTAATTGCTGTTACACTTCAAAAAGCAGCCTTCGCCCTATACAATGCGGGCGAGGGCGCGCACGCACACGCACGCACACCTGTGCATCGGAGGTGGGCAGAGAGAGGGAGTGAACCACGGAGCGTCACCTGTTCCCCGTTCGCGTATCCCTTCCACCCGCCCAACCCCCACCACCACCGTGGCCGCTGCCGCCGCTGCCGCCGCCACCATCATCTTACCTACACGAACGTGGGGATACTCGAGGCGAGCACAATGACGGATAACAACAAATGTTGCCTGCCTGTTACTACACACACGGCCAGCAGCTCACGCGTCTACGTGGAATGTGCTGCCTCGCACACACACACTCGCCTGTGTTGATGGGTGGCTGCTGGACGGTTGGCACGCGAAGGCGCACCTAATGACTGTTTGCGACGGCTGTTCGTGTTTGCCCACGTGGTTTTTTCGCATCGGCTCTCATCCTCTCCGCCTGGGTGATTTCTAGACGTAAAAGTTTTATTTCAGGCGCCTTCGACCACCCAACCAGCATGCGACGACTCGAACCAGGGTCGATCAGTGGTCGAGTTATGTCTGAGGTGAATTCTGGAAGAGGCTGATTATCACAGGATGTCGACTTGTCATGAAGGGACCTCGATTTTATCGAGGTTCGGTATACGGATCGCTGAACAGAGCTCAAGTCTTATCAGCAATGAAAAATTTTTTTAAATATAGAAAAGGACTCATATCTAATCCCGACGAAAGTTCGCAGCAGAAGCATCTGACGTACTGAGAAACCCACTTAGTACTTGGATAAAATGTTTCCAACTCCGTTGGTTGGTAGACCACGGCGTTTCCACGGCTTCAGTCTGATAATAACAACTTGGAACTCAGTCATTTGCCCAAGTTCTAATTTTAAACAAAAGTTAGTCAGAGTCGAGAAGAACCACCGACCGCTGACCAGCACTATCCTGAGTAGCATGGAGAGTGGATTTAAATCAACACGTGGTGAGCATCAATCACTGTCTGGGGACTTGACGTGGCCGAATTACCAGACAGTGGTGTCAGACAAGCAACGCGACCCCGCGGCTATTAGACGCGAGAGGAAAACCCAGACACCCGACCACGCACAACGGACAGAAGCGTGCGTGCTCAAAGGTGCACGTTCTAGTGCAGTTAGACTGGATTTGTCCGGCGTCTAGTCTCTTGCATTCTTGTCTCAACGTCGTAAATGGTCTGAACAAGATCCTGGCAGCGCTCTTTTCACACGCTCCTTTTGGGCGGCATTTCTTGAGATGGGTTTCCACCAGAGCTACAAAAATCGATCAGTCTGTAAGCTACTTTCCGCGCTCATTCTGGTCAAATTAACATGGCTTACGCTAAAATCGCACCGTCGCCGTTTCTTGATTGGGTCAATCAAGTACGCGCACTTTTTCCATTGGCCAATTCATTCATACAGAGGACTATATTTGCAGGTGAGTAGTTTGTGCTCATTTATAGTTCACTGGCCCATCGAGTTTCAGTGGTGAGGTGACAGGTAGGTGAAACTAGTTAATTTGAGGCCCTGATGCGGTTCCCAAAGGGTGCGGTGTGCGGTGCTTAAAGGGTAACAAGTCAGTTTATATGGGATTGGCTAAACACCGATTCCTGAACGAACACAATTACGTGCAGTGCATTCACGTAAACCAATGGAATTGTGTTCGCTCACACTTGCTGCTCACGACAGCACTCCACCTTGGTACACAGACTTGGTGATCATTTTCTTCCAGCTGGAATTCCGAAAGTTAGATCAACAGTTTAAAGTGTGGTCGAAACGTGTTGAGGAGGTCGATGGCGCAACCGTTTCTTTCAGCATGGCATCTGAAAGGTTGATCGTAGGATCAGCAAATCATCGTTGTCGAGTTATGGTTGCGGCGATTGGCTGTTGCTGACAGATCAGTGGATGATTCGAAGTGTATCGTCTAGAGACTAAGCAGCATCCAGCTATTAGGCGTTATTCGGAGGACAGGAGGGTGCCGGAGATTGGACGTGGTCCGGCGGTGATTGGGGCCAAAGAAGAAGCCGGGCGTATAGGCTGAAAGCTAGGTTGGGCGACGAGACAGAGAGAGGACCAAGAGTCGGGCGATGTAGGAGCATAACGGTGACACGTTAGTATTCAATGGAAGGCAGAATGGCTTGAGAAGTGATTTTTTTCTTTGACGTGAAACACAGAATCACCACGCCATTGAAGTCGTGCCCGAAATGTGCCAATCGTCATGTCGAGAAGGTTGATGAACATTCAAAGTCGAGAACGCTGTCACATGAAACGAGTTGAATGGAATCGACGGACCTTTTCTTCCATTGAAAGGTGAGTCTACGTGGTGTGCTGTAGCTACGTTCGTTTTCCGAGGTGGACGAGATAGAGAATTGGGAGTCGAGTCAGTGAAACCAAGCGAGGGTGGGTTGAGAACCGCGGCCAAGCACACAGGAGCGAATCGAGCGTCCCGTTGAGTTTAGCGAATGGTCAGAAGCGAGTTAGGTGAATTGAGTCTGAGTGCCTCGTAGACAGTCAAACCAAACCGTTGATTAGTGCTCGGATGAGGGTAAACGTGTTCGAGAGCGCGGTCACCATTCATTGAGACCCTCGGAGGCGTTTTGGGAACCACACCGGAGGCGACGATCTGCGTCGACACGTTATGAGGAATGCAGTCTGCCAGTCTGTTTGATAAGGAAGAAAGAACGACGTATTCGCGACGCCTTCTTTAAAGTTTACAATGAGTGATATGCTTGATCTGATCGATCTTCGGAACAAGAAAATGAAACCGGAAGAAGTGCCAAACCACACTGGTAGACGCATAAAAACTGTGGTTGCCACGTTCAGTCAATATTGTAATTAGCAGAATCGCGACCCAAGCACGCGTCTTTGGATTGTGTCAGGGTACAGGTGCTAGGTACCTCCACATGCACAAACTGCGACGTTCTACGGTTCTGAGGTTGAAGTGGACAACTTAATGGGACTGCACCACGACCACAATATGTCTCCATTCATTAGGAAACCACACCAGGGCCAACGATCTCGTTCGACATGGCACGACCGAAGAAAGAGGACGAACACAGACAGCACCCAGCTCAACTTATTTAGTGATACACTAGCGGTGTGTGGCGAACAAGGAAACAAGTCAGTTTTTATGGGATTGAACGAACACGATTACATGCAGTGCATTCACGTGAACCAATGGAATTGTGTTCGCTCACGCTTGCTGCCGACCACAAGCCAATGGATCTGATTGAGGCGTGCCAGATTGCTTGCAGGTGTTGAGTAGTGACAGCAAGAAGATGAATGGGCGGAGAGTGTGCTTACGCATGAACTGGCTTACTAGTCATACGCACTTCGTTTAAACAAAGCCATAAATTGCTTAAAAATGCAGTTGAGGCAAAGCCCGTCTCATTGGTCACCTTCTGACCAGTCCGAAGCCCTGGACTTTGGTGCAATGACGCTGCCAAAACTGCAAAACGGCCAGTAGACATCTGCTCGACTTTGCAAAGTCGATGTGATGTTATCACCGAAAAGGTTGGATTACAAACTGAGTCCGTTTCGACGCTTTTATGGCACATGAATCTGATCTTGGATCGAGTCCAGTGAGGCTGACCCAATGAGCAAGGTTTCAACCTGCTTTCGCGAAGTGGTCACTTCAGCGGTTGAATGAACATCAGTCAGACTTCTGCAACGAAATTGGAAAAAAACCGACAGTTTCCCAGGTCGTAGTTGTGCCTGAAACTAGGATAAATCAGTGCGTCACCACCTACTATTCTCATCGCCGAAAGTGCCGTAGAGAGAGCTCAACTCGTAAAAAACGCTTGATGGGTATAGTCGACTTGAACATGGGGGCATCTCGGGTCCCGCGTAACCTCCGGTTGAGGTGAGGGTGGTGAGGCGAAAGTGGGAGGCACAATAATGAGAGCTAAAACGAGTGCAAAAAAACGAATCCCTGCGGCACGTAAACATTTTCGGCCAAAATGTTAACCACCCTACCGTCAACACCTGGTCCTGTTATTTTAAATGGATCACAAACTGTCGGTGGCCTCCATACCCATTTCTCATCGCAAATACTCATTTGATTTCGTTATGTTGTATTCCCGCGACAACCCCCCACGCGGCCTCACGTCTTGTGATCGGTCAATTACAAACGGAAGCAGTTGTTAACTGTAAATGCGGCATCTAAAACGAACGTTGGTTTGGACATTCGACTCAAGTCCATTCTTAGGTATGCCTTGGGGAACGAGGATTTGAGTTTTTTTGTAAATTACCACCGACAGGTGATGCTACCAGTGAATACGCTGTAAAGTTTCCGTAAATTGACCACAATTGACTCCCAGCATTTAAATTGACAAGTTTGTTTGTTTGGTTGGTTGTTCCGAATTGCGTGACGTCCACTGACGCCGAACGGCTGTTTTAACTGAGACACTTTGCTAAAATTGCAAGCAGGGACAGCAGCAGCAGCAGCAGCAGCAGGAGGAGGGTGTTTGAACACTGTCGAAAAGCCAGACATTTTAAATGGCCAATTGAAAGTAGGGAGAACGGAAGGAGAATGAGTGGGAGAGTAGAGGGTTCATGAGTTCTGCTCAGTGG